GAGGGCCGGAGAGTGCAGGGAGACTGCAGGGAGGGTGCCGGCAGGGCTGTGCTCACCACAGAACGGGTCCCAGCGCAGGGGGGACAGGTGGGTGCAGGCCCGCGGGTCCAGCAGGCTCTGCCAGCTGCCATCCTGGCCTCGCTGGAGCCGCCGCTTGGTCTCCCGGAAGGCGTACTTGTCAGCGAACTGTGGCAGCTGCTCGGGCTCCCGGGGCTGCAGGTGGAAGGCTCCTTCCCCCTTCCTGGGGGTGAGAGGGCAAGGGCAGAGTGAGGGGCTGGGGACGTCCATGCTCTGGGGCTGCTGGCTCACCCCCACCCCTGCCCTGCAGCCCCTGCTCACCTCTCACAGGTGTAGCATTCACAGTGCTCATTCTTCTCACCGAAGAAGCCATCGCCATAGAAGCACGTCACCTCGTCCCCTGGCTCGATATCCCGCAGTGCCTTCACGCAGGCTGAATTCCCATCTGCAGGCACAAACTGGGGCGGGGCCCACTCAGCACAGGGCGTGGGGCAGGGGCTTTTTGCTCTTCAGTCCCCTGGGTCCTTGAGAAGCACCGACCTGACCTCCCAGCAGTGGGAACCGCTCCCACCTGCGTTTCCTCAGCTCTTCGGCCTGGCTGAGGGCCACCTGCCCTTTCGGGTGGCCTGTGGGGCCAGGTTCCAGGTGGCTGCCCATGACTCCTCACCACCCTGGGCTGCTTCCAGGCCCACACCTGTCTACAGTCCTTGTCCTGGAGGGCGTGACCTCCTGTCCATCCCTCCACTCAAGCCTGACACTCACCTGAAGCAGCCTTTGATGCCTGCCTGCCTGCTGACCCATAAGCCAATGGGCTGGAGCCTCCCAAGCGCATCATTTCCTGTATCTTTGTCCTCCTCGTCCTGCAACCCTATCCAGAGTTAGCCCTTCACAGCCTCAAGCTCCATCCCACGCCAGTCTCTTGGTGGCTGCCCTGGCCCTAGCCACTTCCTACCCCAGTCCCCCTGAGCTCTAGCTGCCAAGACTGCCTCCTATGCACATGGCAGGAGCCTCTGTGGCTCCCTGGCCTGACCATGCCACCTTTGCGTGTGCTGGGCCTCGCCAGAGCCTGGACCTCTGGAGAGATGTGTCCTGCCTGGATACCCTCTCAAGCTCCTGGTTTCCTTTTACACCCAAGATCTTGCTCCTTCAGCACTCAGCATGGCGTCACCTCTTCTGTGGCCCCGTGTGCTGCTGTCTGTACCCTGCTGTCCCACCCAGCGTCTGTACTGGGCACAACAGGGCCAGGTGAAGGCCATGCGTCACTCACCCTAGGATCCTGTGACAGGGAACCAGGTGCCCACAGCCTGACCTCACACCTCTCCCCAAGTCCACGAGAGAAGAAGCTAAAGTGGGGTGGTACAGCCAGCACTCAAAACTGGTTCTGACCTTGGGGCCTAAGCTCCGGGCTGTCATCCTTGGGAGCTCCCTGCCATGCCGGATGAGGGACACACTGGGACCTGGAGCAGGTGTGCCCCTCTCCACCCCTCCCCTTTGTGCTCTGTGCCAGCTGTTCTCTCCCTCCCACCACCCAGAATGTCTTTGGGGTACAGGGCTGTGCCTCCTGGGGCTCTCCAGCTGCTTCCCTACAACTGCCATCACAGCTGTCTGGCTGAGGCCAGGCTTGGCCAGGAGATTCTGGAGGCCACTGTCACCCTGGGCTGGCTTCCAGGGCCCATCCTGGGTTCTTGACTGCCCATTCCAGGCCAACAACTGCCAGAGGTGCAGGACGGGAAATGGCTTCACTGCCCGGACATCCCTCCCGTTCCAGGACCCCTCACTTCCCGGTCTGCCAGAGCCCAGAGGTCTCACCTTGCAATTCGGTTTGCAGTCTGCAGCCAGCAGGTGGGGGAGAGAAGAGAGGAAATGAGCAAGGACAGGGCCCAGTGAGTGTAGCAGGGGACAGGACCGGCCCCTCACCCTGGGCCTCACCGTGGTTGATGAAGGCAGCAGGACCTAGCCACAGCTGCGCGCTGCGCTTGCGAGTGGAGTACATGATGCTGAAGTCATTCTCGCCAGCTCGCAGCAGGTCCTCGTCGGCCTCCCGCAGCTCGGCGATGCAGCCCACCAGCAGCTCCAGCTTCTCATTCTTCTTCCTGCAGGGGCCGGGGCCACAGGACTCAGAATGCTGCCTCCTGGGGCCACCGCATGCGACACTGTGCCTCTCCCGCCTCCTCCAGTCCCCTGGGACCCTGTTTCTGCACACCGTCCCCACCACAGGACAGGTCCTCTCCTGCACAGCCCTTTTACCAAGCACGGGTGGACACAATCTTGGCCCCGTTGGTCTCCATGGAGTAGCGGGTACAGGGCAGGATGGTGAAGCCGCTCTCAGGCAGGAAGGCACGGAGGTAACGAAACACCTGTAGGGTGAGATTGGGGTGAGGCAAGGGCAGAGCCAGAGGCAGGGGGCCCCCCCTCTAGGAACTCGGGGTGTGTGGTCTGGGCCTTGTGTCCCCTCTCAGGGCCAGTGCCCTCATCCACCAAAGGCAGAGGCCACTTCTCTCCTGTCCTAGGGCTTGGAGCCTCACCTCGGGTCCCCTGGGCTACAGTCAGGGGCCGGGGCGCGCGCAGAAAGGGGTCCCTCACATGGGTCTTGAGGGCAGCCTCCTGCCGTGGGTCCCGGCTCTGGAAGTAGTGGGCCATCCAGCCTCCCACTGTCAGGGCCCGGTATGCAGCCTCCAGGTCCCGCTGTCTTAGGAAGGTCTCCAGTGCTGAGCGCAGGTGCTGCTGTCGCCGCAGGGTGGGCACGGGGCTGGGAGAGAGAGCACAACTGGGTCCCAGGGCCTTCTAGGCCCTGCCAACCCTCACCTGGCGCTGCAGGGAGGCTGGGCTGAGGGGCAGGGAACGAGGTGAGAGGCCCTGGACTCGGCTGCCTGCACCCTCCTGGGCTGCTCACCTGACATTCATCTTATGGGTGCGGAAGCCGAGGTAGGGGTCAAGGACCAGGCTGGTGGCCAGGTCATCGTTCTCACACAGCTCTCGGGCTGTCACTCTTTCAGGCCCCATGATGTTCTGTGGACCATGCTGCCTCTGACAGACAGCAGGAAGCTGCTGGGCACAGCTGGGCACAGGCCAGGAGGCTCCCAGAAGCCGTGCGGCACTCAGGCAGGCCCTGTAGTGTGCACATCTGTAGCGTGGAAGGCAGGGGCAAGCTGAGTTCCCAGGGCTGCACAGGGAGATCAACAAGTTCTCCTGACAGTGGGCGAAACCCACAGAAATGTGACTGAGGACAGCAGGGCACCTCCAAACCCTGACCCTGCCGTGCAGACACAATCCCCAGACCAGCACCTCCCCCATCTCTGCACAGCCTCCAGGGCGCCGCTGAGTGCACTGTGGGAAGCCCTCGTGGGCCCAGGAAGCTAATTCGCAGGCAGCCAGGGACAACACTACAGGGTTAGTGCTGTGGGACACATGTGGAGAACGCAGTGGGAACCCATGCCGCCCACAGGCCCAAGGGCCCCCCTCCTCTGGGGGCCTCCCGGCCCTCCTCCCCAGCAGCCCCAGGGGGTCCTGGTGCACCCCAGGCAACATGCAGGGGGTGAGGAAGGGGACAGCAAGGAGACCCCAGCGCCTGCTCCTCTCCAAGAAGTTCAGAGTGGGGCTGAGGACAAAAGTGGGGGATGAGAGAGTAGAGGGATGGCACGGAAGGCAGAACAGGTGAAATGGGAAAGAAAAACAAGCAGAGAGAAAACACAGAGGTTAAGAAAGGTGAGGCCAAATACAAGCTAACACGGAGGGAGGCTCTGTCCTGAACCCACACCACGGCATACCAGGCCCATCTGAGCCCTACGGGGGGCGGACAGGGCCCAGGAGGTGGGGGGAGCGGCAGAGAGATCGCTGGGAGAGGGGTCTGGGGAAGACAGGAAGGCTGGAGGCAAATGCAGAGGGGGTGCTGCAGGGGGCACGAACTGAGGCTGGAGACAGGGAGGACAGGCAGTGGAGCCGGGCACCGCAGGGTGGGAGGCCAGGAGGGTTTGTGGGCCAGCCGGGGCCTGGGGAGCCAGAGCAGGGAAGGCCTTTGGGATAGAGACCCTAGAGGAAGACCCGGGGTCCCGGAAGGGAGCAGGGAAAAGGGGGGTCAGAGGGCAGGGGTACAGGAAGTGGGAGTCCAGGGTAAGGGACCAAGGGCTCAGGGGGTGCCAGGCGAAGGGACGACGTTAGGAAGGGCCTCGGGGTACAGGGAGAAGCCTGGGCGATGCAAGGGGGTTCAGGAGAGGCCCTGGGGTGCAGGAGACGCCTTAGGGGGCTGAGAAAGGCGCCAGGGAAAGGCTTTGGGGGTCCAGGGAGAAGAAGGGTGGGAGAGGCCCTGGGGTGCAGGAGAGGCCTGGTCGCTGAGAAGGGCGAGGAGATCCACTGGGGTCGAGAGGGGTCGGAGAGAGGCCTGGGCACTGAGAAAGGGGTCAAGAGAGGCCCTGGGGGCGCAGGAGAAGCTCTGGGGCGCAGGGCAGGCCCGAGTGAGGAGCTAAGGCCGAGATATGGGCGCCCGGCAGCGAGGAAGGAGAGGCCCTGGGGTGCAGGAGAGGCCTGGTCGCTGAGAAGGGCGAGGAGATCCACTGGGGTCGAGAGGGGTCGGAGAGAGGCCTGGGCACTGAGAAAGGGGTCAAGAGAGGCCCTGGGGGCGCAGGAGAAGCTCTGGGGCGCAGGGCAGGCCCGAGTGAGGAGCTAAGGCCGAGATATGGGCGCCCGGCAGCGAGGAAGGGGCATGCCTCCTCCAGCTCTCCTCAGACAGAATCGTCGCACCTCTCCCTGGCCCCGCGGGGACCCGCCTCACCACGGCTGCTACGACCTCCTATTGGCTAAACTCACCGCCATTCTTCCGTTGCTATGAAGTACGCCCCACTCTTATTGGCCGAGTTTCACTCTTACCCTCCCCTCCCAGTCTGTCGGTGCCCTGACAAAACCCCGCCACGCCCGCGCCTCCAACTAGCGCCGCGAACTGCTGTCAGTGGCTCGTGCCGATGTCCTTCAGCCGCTGCCATGGAGACTGTTCCGCCCCCCCCCATACTTTTACTAGACGTCCAGTCTCTTATTGGCCAAAGGTGCAGTCTCTCGGAGCAAACTCGGTGCAAATTCGCGTTGGGTCGGGTTATCTAGGTCCAAGTGGTAGAGCGCGGGTCCTGTCAGCTCCAAAATTCGCACGTAATTGGCTGGCCTTGAAAGGGGCCTTCTTTCCATTGGCTAAACCTCTGTCCGTCATTACAGAGTTGAGCTCTCCTTATATTTTTCAGACACAGGAGGGAGAAATCCCTTGCTGGAGGGCCAGAGCGGGGGCCGGGGTGGACACACGCACCTCCCTCCCTCCCGCCTCTCGCGGCCTGCGGTTACCAAGGCGACAAAACTTTATTGACAGCCCTGACTAGCTACAAAGGGCTCCTCTTCCCTTCCTCTACCGTTACCACGTTTCATTTTGGTAATACGTATCCCCAAGGACTCTGTGGGGCTTTCTTGTCATATAAGCCGGTCGGAAAGACGAGTGATCGAGACGCAGGGGCTTTGGAGACGAGCTCGGACTCAGGGGGCGCTCCGCTGGCAGACCCGTCTCCGATTAGGATCGCGTCCCTGCTTCATCCTACAGGCAAATATCATTAGCGACTCTTCATCATTACGTCCAGAACAACACGCCCCACGCTCAGAGCAGGCGGTCTTTGCTTTTGTTTCTATCTCAGCTGTACATCGGGTGCTCTGAAGCCCCGTGTGTGGCACGAGGGCTTTGTTGAAAAGAACGACCAGCCAATGGGGAGACGGCTGGCTGTCCCGCTCTGCTCTGTGGTCTTGGGGAAGCGACTCACCATCTCTGGGCTTCAGGCTCACATCTAGCAAACAAAGACCACCCCGTGGCTCCCACAGTCTCCTCCCTAATCCCCGCTGAGGTCTAAGAGCTCCAGCCCAAGGTAACCACATGTCCAGGGCTGTCAACTGTGGCCAGGTCTAGTGCTGATGGAGGGTCAGGTGAGGTGACAGGGCCACCCTTATCTGGGAAAGACGGGGCACCAGTTCCAGAGGGGAGAAGCAGCTTTACCCAGGCAAGGGAGACCTGCAGGACTCAAGGAAGAGCTCAGCTGCCAGAAAAGTCATAGCAGCATGGCTGACACTTAAAAGGACAGCCCTGCTAGCTGGGCATGGTGGCACAAGCCTGTGATCCTGGCGTTCTGGAAGGCTAGACAGGAGGATCACAAGTTGAAGCCCAACGTGGGCAGTTTGGCTACCTTTTATTTTTTTTGAGACTAGGTCTAGCTATAGATTTCAGGCTAGCCTTGAACTTACTATGAAGCCCAGGTTGGCCTGGAACTCATGACAATCCTGCCTCAGCCTCATGAGTGCTAGGATTATAGGCATGTGCCACCATGTCTGTCCAGTTTCGCCATTTAGTAAGAAGCAATGTCAAAAGTAAAGATTAAAAAAATAAAAAGGCACTGATGATGAAGTGTGATGCAAAGCCCCTGAATTCAATCTCTAGTACTGAAAGCCAAAAAAAGACCTCATATGGCTAATACCCTATCGCCTGCATATATCACATTGTTGTTTATTCCCTTCTCAGTTGACAGACATTGCTGTTAGGTCTATATTTTTGGATGAATTCAATCCCCAGTACCAAAAAAAAAAAAAAAAAAAAAAAAACAACTACAGGCCTTCTTTCACACAGAGGGAGGAGCTAAGTGCGCATCCTTACGACAGGGCTGGGACAGTGACAAACTGAAAGGTCCCAGTGTCCATCAGCAATGAAGCAGCCTCTTGAGGATGACGAAGTTTCGACCAAGGAGGTGACAATGGTTACAAAACTCAGTGCACTACTTAATGAGAGTGTGGTGTGCTCCAAAGGGTTGCTTGCAGTGGTAAATTTCATGTGTGCTGTATTTGCTGTTGTTGTTTGTTTTGTACTGGAGATTGAATCCAGGGCGGTCACACTGAGCTACACCCACAGCCCTTTACTTTCTAGTTTGAGACTAGGTCTCACTAAGTGGCTAATTTGCCCAGGCTGGGCTTGAACTTTTGACCCTCCTGCTTCAGCCTCCCAGAGTGCTGGGGCCACAGGGCGGTTCACCATGCCCATCCCTGGTGCACATCTTGATTGCAGTGTCTTGAGAAACCCAAGCCAGGCCCACACAACTAACCCCTCCCGAATTCCTGTCCCACAGAAACTATGTGGGGTGGTGAGTTTTTGCTGAGGCCTGCGTCACAGCTGGGAGAATGCACACATATCTAGATAAAAATCTCACTTTCTCACAATGGCCGCCTCAGCCCTCACCAGGTCTCCATTATGGCTGTGACTTCGTTTTCTCTCCCCCATGAGTCAGCTGTGACATCTCACCAGCCTGGGCCTATGTAGGAGGCCCACTCTCCACCCACTTCCTCTAGGTCTTGGATCAACTGTTACTGCGGCCTGAGATCTTTCCAGGCTTCCCTGGCTAAAGGCAACCCCCAGCTCCAAGCCAAGGCAGAGCCCCTGGTTTAAAAATTATTGAAGCTGGGCATGGTGGAGCACATTTGTAATCCCAGCACTTAGGAGGTTAAGGCAGGAGGATCAAAATGAGCTCCAGGCCAGCCTGGCTTCTTAGTAAGACTTGATCCCAACTGTGACAAACAAAACAAAAGAAAGAAGGAAAGAAAGAATTTCAAGGTGATGATGGTAGAGCGTTAAACCAGTGTAGATCCTTCTATTATGGGCAGCTAAGGGCCAGGGCTGTAGCTCAGTGATACCCCGCCTGTCTAGCAAGCTCAAAGGCCTGAACACTTGGACTTGGAAAAAAAAATAAAAGAAAGTAGTACAGGTAGCTAAATTAAATAGAAATAAATAGGCAGTCAGACAGGGATGGGCTCTCAAAGGTGTCAGTGCAGAAGATGAGAACACATCAAAACTGGCTTGAGACAGATGTGAAGAAGGCCAGCCCCCAAGATAAAGATGCAATGGCCAGACCTCCATGCCTCCCTGAGGGATAAGCAGTAACTTGGACTTACACTGTAATTCCCACCACCTGGTCCAGGAAGTCCAGATAGGCATGACTTGCCCAGGTGGGTGAGCAGAGCTTTGGCCCTGTCCCTTCCCCAAAATGCCTTTGTTCTTTCCATACACCCTTGCTACATGGTTTGCTTTCCTATTGGATTGATATTAGATAAGCAGCTGTACTTGTCTTTGAGACAGGGTCTCACTATGTAGTTGAGACTGACCTGGAACTCACTATGTAGCCCAGGCTGGCCTCAAACTCACAGCAATCCTCCTGCCTCAGCCTCCCCAGTGCTGGGATTACAGGCGTGCGCCACCACGCCCAGCAGCGGCTATACTTGTAATCCTATTGGTTGATTATAGTTTGACCCATGCTGCACTCACCTTGTGATTTTGCTATATAAAGTATTATTGGAGGCTTTTGCTGTATTCCACCACCATAAATTCTTGTCCTTCACCATGTACCACCCTGCTCTGGAGCCAGCTGATTATGGACTGAGTTAAATAAACCTTTCCGCCTTTAACTTTGTGTGTTGGGGTGTTTTGTCTCAGGAATGAGAGAAAAGTAACTAAGATAGGAGTCAATCTAATGAAGGAAACAAAAGTGCTTTACTCTGAAAGTTACAGTACTCTAAAAAAAGAGATCAAAGAGGATACCAGAAAATGTGAAGATATCCCTTGTTCTTGGATATGAAGAAACAATATCGAGGGAAACTGCAATATTGATTATCCTTAAAGCAGGCTGTAAGTAGTGTAGGCTGTGAAGAGTTAATCCCACAATTGGCTTGTTTATAGAAGTGAGTCCAGCTGAAGCCTACGTGCTGAGGTCAGAGTAACTCAAACCCAAATTCCATTCCCACAACTAAAACCTTCTTGCTTGAAGGACAATGTTCTAATCACCACCACATATTTTATGTATTCTGTTCCTAATTCGAGAATGCTTTGTCTTGTCCTTTATGAGCCTTGTTTACATTAATTTCCATAGAAATCACACGACTGCACATCCTTGTGCGTAGTTCTGCCCTTGCATGGAGCTTACCTTTACCCCAAGTGATTACTAATAAAAATCATGGCCTGGACTGGCCAGGGCCTCTGTCAGTTGCACCAGCATTGATCCGGGACAGCCCACTTCCTCTCTCTTAGTTCTGTCTTTTATTTTTTCCCTCAGGCCTGCACTGTACACTGAGTAGAAGACTGGAGCCTACTGCAGATATTACCAGAAATGTTTCGGGAGTATGACAATGACCAGCCACACTCTCAAAATTTTTGTGTAGATTTAATGCAATCCCCATCAAAATACCAATAGGATACCTCACAGAATTAGAGAGAGCAACCACATGGTACTGGCAAAACAAACAAATAACAACAAAAAAACAGACACCAGGACCAGTGGAATAGATAAGAAGATGAAGAAACAAATTCAGACACACTCAGCCACCTTATCTTTGATGAAAGGGCCAAACACCTTTACTGGAAGAAAGATAGCTTCTTCAATAAATGATTCTGAAAAAAAACTGGCTTTCCACATGATGAAAATTAAAACTAGACCC